CGCAAACGCCTCGGCCGTGCACGCGCCCCACTCCTGCTCCCGTCGGGAGGAGGGCGGAGGGGGGGGGGGGTACCCGCCCTCGGGCCCAGCTCTCCTAGGCTGGTCGGGGGCGAACTTGCACAAGCATGTGGCCCCCCTAAGCGCAGTTGGTAAATACAAATGTGTTATGGTCATCAGGTCCGAGTACGGGGGTGAGCGGCGCTCGTGAGCCGGTCATTCGGCCGAGCGTGGGTCGCGTCCTTCTGCTCTTGGCCCCCGCCCAGCCCGGGGACGGGGAGGCGGGGAGGCGGGGGGAATTGACCATTCACCCCCGGACACGCGCGCGCGCGCGCGCTGGGGCCTCCCCTGGCCTCGCACGCGAGACAGCCAGCCCCAACAATGCCCAAGTGGGGGAGACGCCCACGGTGGCCGGCCGACCGGCCGGCCGGCTGGCGGTCGTGAGCCCCCAGCCAGGCCCGGGAGCTTGACAGCTTGTTGGATGCCGCCAGGAGAAGCCCGCTGTTGGTGTGGGCCTTTCTGCCGGCCTGCCGCCGGGATTAAAGCCCGAAGCTGGCTGGGCGTGCAGGCGAGCCCAACGGGCAGCATGGGGTGGGGGGGGTCTCCAGGCCCTTGTCATGACGGGTGCCGGGGATGTGCGCGTGCATGGTGCTCTTACGACTGCCGACGGCCCGGTCCTGCGAGGGGCCCGGCGGGCCGCCGCACTAGCAACCAAAAGCCTTCCCTGTCTTCACGCTGCCGGCCAGCCCTCCCCCGGCCACTTCCTGGCCCGATGGCTAAAGCTCGCGCTTTCATTCCGGCCCCAGACCCGTGAAGGGGGCCCCCCTTCCCCGCGCCGCCGTCCGGCTAGACAGCTGGCAGTCTCTCCCACGAAGAGCAAGGGACGGGAGCCGGCAGTTGGGGCCTGCCTTGGCGCCTCTTCCTTCGCCGGGCTCCTCCCTGCGCGTGAGTGGTCCGCGACGCTGTCCCCCCCCCCGCAGGTGTCGCCCGAGCAGACCGAGCCCAGGCCCGGTGCCCCCGGGAGTGGCCCAGAGGTCGCGGTCGTGGCATCAGTCCAGTAGCGAAGAAAATAATAATTCAGTCACCCGGGAAGTTCGCCATCGCGCCGAGGGCCTCCCAGCCCCCGAGGCGCCTGCCTGCTTTTTCCCTCCCCCGTCCTCTCTCTCCCCCTTTCTCGCTGCTCCCAGCCCCGAATCAGTCACCCACAAAGGAAACGTTCCCCCCCCCCCCCCTCGCCGCCCGGGCGCGCAGTGGGTCACACAACCTCGGCCATCTGGCCGGGTCAGAGCTAGACCCTTTCCCCGTGACCCCCGGCTGTCTCTCGGGGCGACGGCCGAGCCGGGCCCTCTTTAGGCTGGGCATGCGTGTGCCTCATGCTGTGAGAACATGCGAGCTCTCCACCACAGGGGGGCTGCTGGTCCAAGAGGTGCCCCAGTTCCCGGGCGGCCCAAAGGGGTGATCGCTTCACATCCTGGCCGCCTGGCCGCCTCCGGGGTGCCTCCAGGCCTTGTGCCAGCCTCCCGGCCCGTCCCTGCGGGGGTCCGGGGGCCGCTGCCCATCCCCAAGCTTGGCCCCCCTCCCCTCGAGCGGCCGAGAAAATACGCCTTAAAATGTGGTAGTGTGTTGCAGGCCGAGCGATTAATTGTCCCCGGAGAGACGCCCGGACACAGTGGCGCACCCCAAGTTTCACGCCGCACGGGCGAGTGTTAGCGAGAAAGCCGCCTCCCTTTTGTTGTCCCTGCCCGGGCGGAGGGCGGTCTCTCTGCTCCATGTGGCGGAGGTGGGGGGGGGGGGGGGGGCCAGTAACTCGTCGACGCGGGGCTGTATGGTGCAGACTTTCACAAGCGCAATGGGGCATGCGATGTATCCCATTGTCTGGACTCCGGCCCCGGTCTACACAAGTGATGATCCCCCTGCACCCCTCCCCTCTCCGGCCGCCGGCCTGGGGGGAAAGACCCCTGCGCAGGCCAGCGCGCTGTTGGTCATATTGTCCGGTCCCCTCGTTGGGGAGGAAACGAGTTGCCAGGAGGGGGTTCGCCCGGTAATATCATTTTTAAATCACGCTCCAGATCAGGGGCACAAGCATCAGCCGATGGCCGCCACAAATCACCCGATCGTCGGTCGAATTTTGGACTCCTGCCCCCACAAGAAAGAGGGTTCCCCGCCCACCGCGGCTATTATAGGCGCGCCTCTCTTAGACCTTCCCGCGCGCTGGGCCGGCGCACCTCGCGGGCGTCGTCTGCCTGCGCCTGTGGGCCGGCCACTTTTCGAGACACAGGGGAACCGAAGCCCCCCTGCTCCAGGACCTCGGGGCGCGCCGCGGCGGCCCGCACCACCTCAAGCCCGTTACACCTCCCCAAAACTGCTGCCCCCCAGGGACCGCGATGTGGACGCCCTTGCGTGCGGATCTGGCACCTTCCAACCCCATCTGGGCCTCCTGCTTCTGGCGGGGGCTCGGTGACAAGGCTGCTGCTGACCATGTCCGCCCCGGGCCGGGGCACGTTCTCACGCACTCACGCATCACGTACGCACACACGCACGCACACACGCACACACGCACATGCGCACACGCGCACGTACACATGTGTCCACAAGGCGTATGCCCCCCACCCATGTCCGGCCTCAAATGTCGCCCCGACGGGGCGCCTTCCCGGTTGGACTGCTTGCCAGCAGACCTTCTCTTACTCGGACTTCAGTGTCGGGTACCCCCTTTCCACTCTCATCCCTCCCCGCTGCCTTCCTCCTCCCCCCTCCCTCTCTCTCTCTCTCTCTCTCTCCCTCTCCACCGGATTCATCGTTCCGGACTTCCTTCCCCTCCTCTCGAGTCCCT